TTTACCTCAGTGAACCGAGATCTCAATAGAGATTGCGAGTCTCAACCCAACCACACATCGTGTTCACTAAATTCAACTTTGAACTGCTTTCCGCTTTGCTAAGTATTGCTCGTGCGTCTCAATAGCGCAGTGTTCAGGGCGTCAGCCGTGACCTACTATGTCTTCGCTATGCGGAATAGAACCACTCACTGGCATGGTAGGGGCTGTTTCATTGGCCAAGCGCCTTCAGCAAAAAGGACCTCATGCGCTTGGCCAATGAAACAGCCCCTACCATGCCAGTGAGTGGTTCTATTCCGCATAGCGAAGACACAACTTGATTGCCCCGGAGGAGCAACCCCGTTGACCCCCAGGCGTAAATGTTTTGCCCGAATGTCCAACTTCAATGGAAAATGGTATAGACTCTGAGTTCCAGCCCAGCTCAGGCTATCTCCACCTGATGAGTCCAAAGCAGGAAGAAACCGCGGTCGTTGTGTGTCAGTGTTGCGCGGAGCAACACACAAAATTTTTCCTTTCGGATACCGTCCCCCCGCTCGGAATGACCAAGGTCTACCTGAAGTGAACCGAGGTCTCAATAGGGGTTGCCAGTCGCCACCCAACCACACAGCGTGTTCGCTAAATTCAAGTTTGATTCCTAGTTGGTTAAGTTGACAGCAGTCCAGAGATTTTCTCGGGTTGCCTGTGTAAAATTCTAACTACAATTACTATTCCATTATGCACGTAAGCGACCGGTGCAGATTGTTGTACTTGTTGTTGATTTCGTTTGTTTGAGCCGAGCACTGCATTTCCTTGACACTCGTTTCGATTGCAACGGGCGAGCATTCAGTGTTCTGCGCCTGTTTCGCTCCCCTAGCTAGCAGCGTCAACGTTGTCGTCCTTTTATAACTAGGCAAGCAAGGAACTTTACAATGTGCAAATAAAAGTTTTCATATCCGCGAAGCAATTTCTTTTCGATAATTCCCTTCAGGCTTATACGTGTACAAAAATGGTTAAGATTGTAATAGGCTAAGATAGCTGGATTAGGGCTGATACATCCGCAACTGGCTACTCTGCTGGTTGAGCAGCGTCACCAGCTGGTGATGAGGGTAAGGTACATGAGGCAGGGGATCACCGTTTGAGATCGAAGTAAGCTTTGTGCACGGTGAAATCAACGTCGGGACATATGTAGCGTCTGCAATAGAGTCCTCTATTCGCATAGTTCAGATTGGATCATCTGGATAGCAAGTGCCTGTACCGTCATGCGTAGGCGCTACTTAATCCCTTCTAAGTAGTGTTTTGATGCGGCTTAGGAAACTTTAAAAGCGGCTTTGCAACTAGATCGGTCATTCGGAATCGCTATTCAGGCTTCCGCTAAATTGGTGACACCGAGTTCGGAAGAACCTAAGCGCCTGATATCTCGATATTTTCTCCGGTGAGCGTGTGCCATTTTATTCTCGTATATTTTCCAGTTTAAGTTTGCCTACAGTACTATTTTTGTTAATTTGTTTTACCATTGATTAGGTAGACCTTAAAGTAATGTCCCCGCTAGTAGTGTTTAATTATTTTGGACGTGGTTTCCCTTTTGTGGTCCGCCCATCTAGAAGCAGAATTTCTAACCACAGAATTACTTCCGACTACGCAAAGTATAGCAAGCTTAAATCCTATATCCCTGAGGAGATACCAATGTAGGTTCGATACTTCAGCATATCTCAGAATGAAAACCACTATGAGGCCATCGAGGAGAGCATACTTAAGCGCTTTTTGTTTACGGGGGACGTCCGCCTGTATCAGCTTTACAGGAATCCGCACTTGGTGGCAAACTGCCCACAACGCTGTTAAGAGAGAAGCAACAGTTACTTGGTCCAGTAACCATGGATGATGCTCTGCTACGCGAACTATGGCTACCGCGGTTGCCGGAAGATGCACAAGTGATTCGCACCATTGTGAGCTCCGTATCACTTACTCCACTATCGAATTTGGCAGACCGAGTCATCAAACGTTCACAGCCACAAGCTGACGCCAGCAAGGTCAAAGCCGTTGTGTCTTAGGGCACTTATGTCACCTGCTTCCAGGCAACGATAAAAGCTCTGCAAATGCAATGTGCGATAAATATTCGCCAAGTTCGACAACTCACCGTGAGCCGTCGCTGCCACAGCTGATGCAACACACCGACGAGACGCTCTAAGTCTACCGACGGACGACCTTACCGTTGATACCACCAGGTGTTTGGCAGCGCAGTTAGCAAATGGGTAGGTATAACAAATTCGCCGCGAAGCCGGGAAACCACTCAGCTGGCCCGTATTGGCGACGGACGCAACCGGCCCAAACCAAAGTCACCTAAGCCTTGTTAGGAATTTACGTCCCGGTACCGAGTTCCTCGTGGACACTGAGAGGGCCTGTCGTTTCTCATTGCTCATAATAGGTGGTCTAACCTTTGCGGACCGGAGCACGTGCCGCCAAACGTAAACTAATTACACCTTTCGTGGAGAAGATGCCAACACTCAATCTAGACCTCTGGCGCAAATTTCGCTGGCCTTTCATAGTAGGAGCGCGGCCCTTTGCTAGCACAGGCATGGAATTTCTTCGACATCCTGGCCCTATCGTCGAAGATTAGAGGGGAAAGCTTGTCGACTCTCGGACACAGCTCAGAGTCCTCGGGACCAACGCCAACGTGGCCGCTATCACACCAATTCGTATCTTACCTCAAGATTCACATTATTTCTAGCAGCCATTTCAACCAGCATCCCAGGCCCGTTCACACTCAGAACGACTTTCCTCCAGTGACATCAAACGTCCTACATCACTGCAATGCGCCTTTACCTGTTTGGCAAGCCCTCGAAGAAGCCCAGGACGATCTCAAAGTGGCTAAGGGGCAGTTCGAATAAATGCTCGCACTTGGAGTAATCCACCCTTCCAAGGGACATGGGCATTACCAGTACATATGTTACCATAGAAATCAGGCGACTGGGGCCATTATGGTGACTACAGGACACTTAACAAAGTTACCGTTCGGGAAAAATACCCAATTTCTCATATGCACAACCTAACCTCAGCTCTAGCTGGCAAGTCGATTTTTAACAAAATTTCTCGCGTGCGCGCCTACCATCAACTACCTATAACGCCAGACGATATACCTGAAACAACAGTCATTACACCGTTTGGTTTTTCTGAGTATCACAGAATGCGTTTCCTCCTCAGCAACGATCTCCAGGCTTTTCAGCGTTTCATTCATGTAGTAACAGGAGGACTCGAAGGCCGTTATCCATTCTTAGATAGTATTCTTATCGCCAGCACTTCTGCCGATGAACATCTTCGTTGTGGTTATCCCAAGCACTTTCGGAAGATTCTCAGAGGTAATGGAGTTAAGGCAACAAGCACTGCTTTAAAGCGACACACTCTGAACAAGCGAGACTCGGTTTCTTCCCCGATTGAGGAGCTTCACCGCAACCGGTGGATCTACTCCTACCCACTGAGTGAATGGTACGGTGAGGAATATAAACTGTTTGAATGCTTCGTTCAGCGAATTATGACTCGGCAACTGGAAGTACGAATAGCCTTGTTACGGCAACAGATCGCTTCAGAAAAGCCGAGTAACTCATTTCCACCTGACCCTGAGAAATACGTGCACAATCTCTCCCCTTCGCAATTAGATAGAGCGCAAGTGCAAGTCCTCTCACTAGGCCCGAAATTCTGTTATCCCCGAGCTAATGTACAAAGGTTAGCGTTGGAAAATATTAGGATATTAGGACAGCCACTCACCGATGTCTTAATGAGTAAGTTGGAGAACACTCAGCTAAACGAATGTATCGACAACTTGGTTTACTATGGTCTATACGTTGATGATATATTTTGTGTTGCGGATGGTCGAGTATGCATCAAAGATCCGCTATCCCAGTTCAGCGCTGCACACAACAACATAGTGTTCACTATAGAACTTGAAAGTAACAACTTCTTGTCATTCTTAGACGTGCACATCACCAGGACATCAGACAGGACAGTACAAAGGAGAGTACACAGGAAGACCACTTGGAGCGGTTAGTATACCCTTTTCGCCAGTTTCATTCAAATGAGTCAGAAACGGAACCTTGTCCGTTGTCTAACGGAAAGAGTGAGGAAAATATGTACGGAAGACACGGTGTCGGATGAGTTAACTTTCATTCGAAACGTTCTCGAACAAATTGATTACCCGGACAAATGCATCCGGAGGCACTTGGAGCCACGAGCAACAAAAGTCCAACCAATCACCGCAGAAAAGCGCTCAATCTATTTAGCATTGCCTTTCAAGGGTGATATGATAGCAGAACGAACGACTCGAATGCTCTGCAATACAACCGCGAGAACTTACTTTGCAGCTGACCTCCGTGTCAACTTCACTTCTACGCCGGTCATGAGTCAACATTTCAAGGACAAGATAACGAGGTCGAATAGTTCCTTCCGTGTGTACCATTTTTCTTGCTCTTGTCGAGCAAGATATACTAGAAAGACGAGCAGGCGACTGTTTGAGAGAGTCCGAGAACATTGCCCGGCGTGGCTCTACACTTGTGTCAGAAAGACAGTAGTCGGCGCGGTGCTGTGACATTTGGTCTACTCAAATCACAAGTGAATGCGCGAGAGGACTTCCGGCCTATCTACAAGATATCTAGACGCCATACGCGAGCCCTCCGACGTCATCTATTGGCGACAGCGGAGGCACTCGCTATTCGGTTCCATAACTCCGACTTAAGTGCTCAAAAGAATTTTGCAAAGGCTCTACGGCTACCATTGCATCCAGCTTCCCCATGTAACGAAAACCACGCTTAGCCCTTCCACTAATGGTGCCCTAGCCAGTGTGGTCACTTTATCTCATTGACCGATCAATTCACTTCATTGATTCATCGTATTTACATACCATGTGTTGGTTTGATTCCTATTTTCTGTGGTGTATTGTCCTAATGCGAACCACTGAAAACAATCCCGTTCGCCTAGCCGTCTTTTGCTTCTGATATTTTGTAATAATTGGACACAAACGGTTTTCCGTTCTACAGGGGAAAAGAAGTACGTTAGTAAAGAGCATGTGGGAAATACGTATGGGAACTACCGGGATGAACACCTTACAAACATGCGTATGTGTCACATTACCCAAATGGGTGACATATCAGTAAGTTAAACTTTGATTTCCTTTTTTAAATAATACGTGAGGCTAGAGAATTACAAATGTCGCTTCCGAAGGAAAACTGATTCATTTTCTTCCCCATTTGTCGCATGCAGAAGAATGATTCTCTTGGAGGTAATACGAAAGAGGGTATCAATGCCTGATAGTTTCGCTTCGGACCTATGTTATATGCGGTGAAAGCTGGAAGACGCGTTTCATAAATCACAGTATTGAAATTAGTTGTAGATGAACAGTTGGCCTTTGCTCCACGAGAAAAGAGGACTTGTATGCTTTTCAGCAGTATTAGGAAATAAACCCTTCCTATTGCTGCGTTTTCAATCTGGCCTAGCAAGGAAACTGAAATGGTGTGTTCACCCAAAGCACCGCATTGATGGCACGCCCTTGACCCGTGCCATTATTGGTTAGTAATGCAATTGCATAAAACAGCACCGGTTTCAGACGCTGTGACACGAAAAAATTTCGCCGGTTGCGCTGCAAGTCTGATCGCCTAGATGATTCGCCGTTGAATACAACATGTCAATAAACGAGAGAATTATCAACCGAAGTCGCATGTAACACCCAGGCCAAGTACAAAACTCTGTATTAGTGTATTTTTATTACAATTTTCTTACTCTTTTGGTCTGCTGGTCTGAATAAGTAACGGGATAACGTTACTTCGTTTTATAACGTCGTTAAACGGCAGGTAGTTTGCGCGGAAACTCGGTTCAACGAACGTGGGTAGCTCGACATTTAGTTAAAGGGGAATAAATTTCCGTTTATCACAAACGTGTTTATGCTAACAGTGGTGAGTTTGGAATGCACGTTGAAGGATTAGGGGCTGCAGTGCGATAGTGGCGCATGTGGTTCCTGAGCTCTATAATTATGTCTACACGTGTCTACGTGTGCACGTTCGCATCCATGTAGTGATCGCAGAACTGCATTAAAAGCGGTGGAAATTAGTTAACTGTGAATTGGGGAGGGCTGTTACCATTTTTTATTGAACACCCGAAGTTAGTCACAAGTGCAACGAACTTTGGGCGCTTAAAAGGACCGCATATTTCCTTGCTTAGGAGTAATTTAGAACGCTGAAGAGTGTGTTCATATGCACGCTGCAGTGGTAGTCGAAATGCCTTACAAGTACTGGAAAATTGTTATCCGTGAATGGGGGATGTCGTCGCACTTTTTGCTGAGCGCCGGAATTTCTTTCCGTGGGAGTAAATTCCGGCGCTCAGCTTTGAACACCGCTTTTCCATACAGAGGAATAATTTGTGGTGTCCAATATGTTGTTCGTGCGCAACCATGCAGTGGTTGTCGAATTGTTTTAAAAATAATGGAAAATAGTTACACGCGAATGGGTGGATGCGGCTGCATTATTATACTGAGTGCCCTGATTTAGGCCCAAACGGGACTACATAACCCGATCGTAGTCCAGCGATTCGTGTTACCCTACGACGAGGAACTCACTGTACGTTTAGCTGATGCAACTATCTTTTCCAAGCTAGATTTGAAAAGTGCATTCTTCCATGTACCATTGCTCAACAATTCGAAACATCTAACTGTTTTAGTTGATCATGATGACTTATTTCAGTACAAACTGCTGCCAATGGGTTTGAGTACGTCGCCCGCTGCCTGGTAATAGTTCATGACTCAAGCTCCGGAAGGTATTGATGGACACGTTGCCTACTTAGATGGTCGCACGCCGGAAGAGCATGACTAGTGTTTACATGAAGTCTTTCATGGACCAAGTGAACTCGATCACCATCTAAACGCGGAAATGTCGTTTTAACTCTCCTGTGATAAAATGTCTAGGGCACAGCGTTTATCGCAGCCGCATTCGCCCAAATAACTAAAATATCCTTGCCATAGCTGACGCGCAGATACCTAGTAAGTTAACGGAACTAAATTGTTTCTTGCGGCACGTTCGTGATTTTTAACGGTGGCAGATCCATTACGGAAACTGACAAAAAAGAGGTCATCCTTTATTTGGGGAAGCAAACAACAAAATACCCACGACGATCTGGAAAGACGGATTTCCTCTTGCACATTAATCGCCATCTTTCACGAACCGTGCCGTACCTTTGTGTCAACTGATGCATCTTATGTCGGTCTCGGTGCTGTTCTTTCACAGCTTCCAAACAGTGAAGCAGAACTTATCGTTTATGCTTCGCGGATGTTGACTCAGTATGCCACTCCGTCAGCGAGAAGGAAGCTCTACCTGATGTGTAGGCTTGAGAGAAATGATATCTTTCCACTTTGACCGCCGTTTCACTTTAAGAACTGATCACTCAGCTCTATCTGTCCTTCCCAAGAATGTATCTAAAGGGTTCCGTCCGATCCGGATCAATCGTTGGTACACCAGACTTCTCAGCTACGGCTTCCGAATCATTTACCGGTCAGGATAGCAGAATCAGGTAGCGGATGAATTATCCAGCTTACCTTTGGAACTGGAGGATGGGAAGGTAGCACTCAGAGTGGCGGCAATGGTGTCTAGTCTCGGATCCGATTTGTGCGCCCTAACGATCAACGAACCACAAACCGAGAATGTGAGAGATGCCACGTTGTAGCAACTTGTGGCCCAAGTTTAATTGGGATGGACAAAGAACATTAAAATTTCCTGTGAGTTTGCTCCGTACTATGCAATTCAAGCGAAACTTTCAGTTGTAGATGCTTGTCTAGTACGACGTCCAGTATTTGTAGATGCATCGTTTCTGGTAAGCAAAATATTTGCGTTTGCTCATTAGGATCATCCGCGTATTCTCGAAGTTGATCGAAGTTGTTCACCTTCGTGCCTCAGCCTTTCAAGAACTATACCAATTATTTATTTATTTACTTAACTAAAAATAAAGTCCGACAGCGTTTATGGTAGCCATGAATGGCATCAAACGTTGAAGCATTTGTAAGAAAATCTCTTGCTTACCGGTTGGTGGATAAACCTACTCTCCTTGTGGAGACTCCCGTCCAACCGATACCATACCCGATGAAGCCGTGGGCCAAAATTGTAATTGATGTTATGGGTCCCTTCTCCACTGCTCCGGTGAATAAGAAAAATCTACTTGTTGCAACTTGCTTTTACAGCAGATGGCCTGAGGTTTATATATGTGACCAAATAAGCTCTTCCGTAGTGTTGCGATGGCTCAAACATCTGTTCAATAGCTTCGGATTACCAAAGGAAGTGGTTAGGGATAATGGTCTACAAACCTGTAGTAACGATTTCGAAACTTGCTTCCAACGTCTTAACTTAAAACACTCTCCTACTGTACCCTAGAATCCTGCAGCTAATGGCATGGTGAAGCACCTTAAACGGTATCGTATGGATGTAATACAGTCCGTCCAACTAGGAGGCGTATAATGGGAAGAAGCTGTTGTAACGGCGCTGCTATCATATAGAATCTGTGAACACAGAGTCACATAGAGAACGCCTACCGAACTGATGCTAGGAATCCACTTACGCATCAAGCTCAATGCTGCACCCAAGGTGTATTTCGGTTAATCCCGAAGCGCCGAAGCGCATAACAACACGCCAAACATACTACGCCAAAACCTCTATTCCTCTGCAGCCGGGATCATTTGTCGGAGCAAAAATAGAAGTGCTGTAAAGGGTCATCCAACTCTGTCTGCACCGCTGAGAATCACACATGCATATAGACTTGGCACCCATCGATTATAAAACGGTTTGGCGGTTTACGCCCGTCGGATTTACAGAGCAGCTGAACCGGCCTAGTAGTTTAGCCAAGATAGGTGTGAACCTCATATAAGGTAGGCTCCACTGTTCTGTGAACCATGCAGGTCAAGACGTACACCAAAGCCAGTTAATCGATACCAAACCGCATGAAGCAAGTTTTCTGACCTGGGGAGTGGTATTGTGATTCGTTACCATAACCTTGTCCTAATTGCTTGAACCCCGCTCAGTGCTGCTTGGTAGAGTAGCTGACTTTTAAGTTGAGTCCCGTTTCGCTCTGAGCGGGTGTACATTCTACTTGTCTCGTACAATATACTTTTTACTACATCTGCGTTCTTCTGATACAAAAACCTGCACCTTAAATATTTTACGAACATATTCGTTCAATTCCCAGATGCCAGGGATGAGGCGCTTTCTGTAGATTTGCGCACCGCCTTCAGGCAATTCAAGACTTTGTTATTATACAGAAGTCCCGAAAGTGCGTCAAGCGGGCTTATTAATTTCATTCGTACTCAAATGACCAATGGATATCTGGTTATGGTGATTTTAATGCTCCTGAGGTTGATTGGAAAAGTTTCTTTTGCCACCCGCGTCAGGGTATTTTTCCACTAACTTGCTTGACCTTTCTTTACAAACTTCCCTTCATCAGTCTGCACAAAAGCCAGCTAGGTTAAGGAAGAGCCAAAAACCATCCCTTTTGGACCTTATCTTTGCAAGGTCGATGGACTTTGTACGTGAAATAGTTTACGAATCCCTTTGGGCGCTAGTGATCAGGCGTGCCTGTTACTCAATCGTGCCCTAAGTCAGGGCCGTGAAGAATGTATTTCCAGGGGGCCCAAATTTCTGGCGTGTAAATCTCAAGCTGTTAAAGACAAGGCTGCAAATTACCCCTGCATTATCTCGAAGGCTGATACGGTCCAGATCACTTGGGACAAATACAAATTCTTTCGTTGTGAGATTTCGCATCCCCATATCCCAACCGCAATGAGAAATAAACTAGAAGCAAAACCGTCTTTGTTTGACTCTGAGGCGCGCAGGATGTTCAGTAGGGTACCCAGATGTTGAAAAGATTTACATAACAACTCCCTCGGAAAGTACCTACCTACCTACCAAAGCGTGCGAAGTGCATGTAAGCAGCACCTGCGGGCCACAGTCTGAGGTATGATCTGGAGTTGGCTCGATCTGCCTCAGCGAAACTGAAGCGGATTTTTGAATACGTCAGCCGGCGCTGCAATGCAAATTCCTCTACCCCCGTGCTGTTTGGGTCTGACGCTTTGAAGTAATAGCCTATCGGGACAAGGCCGGCTTTATGCGGAACAGGATGCAA